TGTACTTCATGATATATATTATATATTTAATGTACTTCATAACATATAGTTCATATGTAGTACATTATATATGTGTTACATTTTATATGTATATTTCATATATATTATATATATTTCATATTTAGTACAGTATATTATATATAATACTGAATATGTAATATATTTTATATATAGTATATTGTAAATACATGCAATGCAGAGTGAATGAATCAGGTTGATAAATGCAATCTTCACCTAACTTCCATTTAATATTCTCTGGACCACAGGCAAGCAGTGTGTATATGCCCAATACTTTTACTCTGGCTGCTTTGAGTAATCAAATCTTGTGGGGAAAAAAAGGACCACAGACAAGAAAGCAGTACAGTCTCCCTCCAAAAGAGAGGGCATGGGAAACTGCCACTAAGGCCCTATTCATAGCTCTCCCTTGCTTGAACACAAACCACCTTTGCTGTCTAGCAGGGAGGGTGTGGTGCTAGGACTTAACGCGGCATTGGAAAAGCAAGGAGTTCTATTTCTGACTCAGACACTGGTTCACTCTGTAACTTGGCTATATTGCTTCTCTTCCCTGTATAAACATTACCTCTGAGCCTCACAGCTGAGGCTAGGAAGATTCAACAAGGCTTCTGAGTAGTTTTATGAGCTTGCCAATATTTGGCCCTATCTAACCAGAGAAACACTATAGAAGTTTTTCTTTCTCCGAAGTCTGACACAACTGGAAATTCCTATCTTTCTGGATACCCTGAAATTCATATTGGCAATTCTTTCTTCTGTTAATGCTTTCTACCTCAAAATGCCTTTCATTTCAACCTTACAAACACAATTTACTCAGAACAGAACAATCTAGGAGGGTTCCCCCAATGGGGTTCTAATTTTAAAAATCAGACCAGTATTTAACTCTTAAGCTAATTCTGAAAAAGAACCAAAACTATTCAAGAACCAAAACTATTCAAGTAACCAGATTTTTTTCAGATTGTTTCTTTAGACTGGCACATGGTTAGAAATACCACCAGATCATGGTTGTGCAGAGCATGGAGGCAAAGGGCCAGCACATGAGCTTCCAATGAGATGAAGAAAGAAAGTAGGCACTAATTACATCTTCCACTGCAAGTAGCATCAGACTATCATCTGGTGAAGAAATCTGCAACCATTATTCAATTAATCATGTGGGGAGGGGATTCAGAGTTGGGTTGATGTAAGTTCATTGACAATGGGCAGAAAGCAGGTCACTTAGAGGTGAATCAAAAAGAAACCTGAGAAAGGGGTTGGAGGGAAAGAGATGTAGGAATGGAAGAGGGTAAGAGGCTGAGGATTATAACCAAAGTATATTATCTACATGTATGAAAATGTCACCAAGAAATCTGAGCTGTTCTTTTTTAAGCAGTCTCCTTAAGGTTGGCCTTGAATTCAAGATTTTCCTGTCTCAGTCTCCTGAGTAATGGAATTATAAGCATGTACCACCATGCTGGGAAACAGTAAAATCTAATGTTTTATACAAGTTGAATATACTAATAAAATATTTTATAAGAAAAATCAAAATGACACAAAAAAGAAATCTGACCCTCAATGATTTTTTAACTCTGACCAACATATATGGAGCCAATTAAGATAGTTTTACAGTAGTGTCACTTTTTTTGTAACTGATTTTTTTGGTGCCAATCCTGAGGCTTGAACTCAGGTCCTGGGTGCTATCCCTGAGCATTTTTGCTCAAGCCTAGCATCACACATGAGCCACAGCTCCACTTCCAGGATTTTTCAGTGGCTAATTGCAGATAAGAGTATCACAGACTTTCTTCAAACATCAATCCTTATATCTCAGCCTCCTGAATAACTAGAATTACAGGAGTGAGCCACTGGTGCCCTACTCTTTTTCAGATTTTTAATGATACTGAAATACACTACGATTGATGTTGTTGGGTCTCCTGGAGGAAATAAAACTTCATCTTTTGGCCCAATAATGATGAATGGACACCTATTTAACTTTACACAGTACTAAAATTTCAAATGACACATTGAAAACAAGATGACTAGATTGCTTTTGGTCTTCACAGAAAACAGTCAGAATTCAGAAAGACAAAGCCATGAAGGCAGAGTATGCTCAAATTTTCCTTCTTTGCTCCATTTTTAATGAGGTTGGCACAAGTCAAAGTATATAGAAAATTATAAGCAAAACTTAGGAAAAGTGACACAGCCTTCCTTCAAGAGGAAGAGGCAAGAAGATTACCAGTTCTAGGCCAACCTGGGTTACTTAGCAAGACCTTGTCCTTGTTTATAGATACCTAGCAGTAAACTTAAAAGTACACCAATGTGAAAAATACAGCCAAGGGAAGTAAGTCCAGGATTTTGCTCCTAGAATGAGCAGTTGCTAACAGGTAAGACCCACAAAGGAAATCTAGACCAAGTCATGGACACAGGTCACACATATGCTCATATTTCCAACTGATGCTCCTGTGCACTGGCTGATGTTTCTTAAGAATTTTCAAACACCATCTAATCTACATGGAGGAAAAGATAGGCAAAATTTTCACAGCAGAATGGCTCAAGGAAATTGGTATTCATTGATCTCTTTGTATGTATATGTGTGTGCCATTACTGGGGCTTGAACTCAGGGCTGGGTGCAGTCCCTGAGCTTCTTTGCTCTACCACTTGAGGCACAGCTCCACTTTTCACTTTTGTCAATTAGAGATAAGCTTCTCCCAGTCTTGCCTGCCTGGGCTGGCTTTGAACCATAATCCTTCAGCCTCCTGAGTAGCTAGGATTACAGGCATATGCTGCCTGTCATCTTAGATGCTAAAAATATCCCTTTTATGATATCATTTCTGAGTTGAATCTTTCATACAGCTGTTCTCTCCCCTTTCATTTTATTTGAGGAAAACAAGAAATTGACAGAGACCCCAATCTGATTAGTTCAGATTCTATCCTTAGTGTCTAATTTGAATGTTTATTTTCACCAAAATAAAAATTACAATCTGCTACTAACCCTTTACCTGATGATGCAATCCAAACGTTAGGGAATTATATGATCTACTCCTCAATATGACAGAGCCAAAGATTGCATCAGATTACCAATGTAGAATTTTTCCCTAGTACCTAGTTATAGAGTAAGACAACTGCAGAGACATTGCATAATCTAATATTATGAAATTGTCTAGAATCTTGAGACTCAATATCTCATCTCAGAAGAAGCTTCAGACCTTGGGGAATATTTTTTTGGATGTTCCTGAAACAGCTCATTCCCAAATTCTGCAAGGCTTCTACATGCCAACTAGGATTCAGCCTTATTCCATTTATCTAAACACATAAATATTTCAGTAATCAGACTAATTCATTTGATATACTTGGGCACTGAAATTGGAAATATGAACAAAAGCATGCCTTCTATCCTTAAATGTGTGTGAAAATGCAAATAAACCTGTGTGTGTGTGTGTGTGTGTGTGTGTGTGTGAAAAGGTGAGTAGGCCAAAGAGTTCATATTCATCTACAGCAACTTTGCCTGGATAACAACAAATAACAACTCCTTGATTGATTCTGGATCTTTGGATCATATGATCTGTAATAATTTGGAAGTAATGGTTAGAAAAATATTAGAGAATAAGAAATGAGAATTCATGGAAAAAGTTATTATAAGGATAGTGGTACTCACCACATTAATTCAGGCCAAATTTCAGAGCAAATTTTATCTGAGGTTAGATAATCAATGAACTTTTTGAAGGCACTGTCATTACAGATTATCGCTAATGGTGATGTGAAAAAAATCAGTAAGAGTAATGTTCCATAAAGAAACTTTTTCACTAAAATGGATATCTAGATTATATGAAAAACCAAGTTGCTTCATGATACAATTCAGAATAAATGAGAGCCAATATATTTCTGAATGGCATTTAAATATCCTGGATTTCATTATAACAAAATTGCAGGTAGCAATTATATCCTCAACATCACTGCTGTACTGTACTTTACAAATAGTATTAATTAAAGCATAAAATCAATGAATCTCTGTAATTTATAACTGTTTTATAACTATTTTAAATAACTAGTAACAGTCAGGTATTGATGGCTCATTCCTATAATCCTAGCTACTCAGGAGGCTGAGATCTTGCAGTCATAGTTGAAAGCCAACCTGGGCAAGAAAGTCCATGAGACTCTTATCTCCAATTACCTACCAAAAATCCAGAAGAGAAGCTGTGGCTCAAGTGGTATTTTGAGCAAAAAAAGCTCAGTGACAGTACTAAGCCCTCAAGTCCCAGGACTGGCACACACACACACACACACACACACACACACACACACACATTCACACCACTAGTAACAAGCAAAAAATGCTTCCATACATTAAAAACCAATGAACAAAGATCTTTTGGGAGGCCTGGAATTTACAGTGCTTCTTTTCTTTTTCCCTGGCAACAACTGCTATGATTGGACAGAGGAAATAAAAGAAGATTGGGGCAACAGGTGGAGATGCCATTGCCTTGTCACTAGCCTGCAATCCCACATTATTTCTCCTCCCTCTCAACTAGAGTGATAGGTGAGAGGCTTCCATTACTGGATATTTGTATACATATTGACAACCTTGCTTTATCTCAAGCCTGCACTTCCCCCCTATTTCAACTCCCCCTCGAGAACTACAGGGATATGAGAGAGGTTTCCATTAGTGGGCATTCATATACTTATTGACAACCATTGTGCCTTTACCAATATATCCTAAGAACCCAATATAGCATGTTTGAAGCATCTTCATATTAAAATTCTGCACAACATACTCATATAAGATGAGAAAGATACTGCAACAAAAGTCTTATAAATAGCACCTATGTTTGCACCTTGTTCATTTATTGCTTGCAAAGTAGGAGCATCTGCTGGTACCCAACTTACCATTCTTTTGAACAAAGGTAGCCTAAAACAGAGCAGATCGTTAAATGATATTCCAATTCTTCTGAACTGATCTATCATGTAATAAGACATTAAACAAAATCTTCAGAAAATGTAAAATACATTTATCTCACCTTAATATTAAAGAGAATTAATTTGCACACTCCTCCAGAGAGCAATGTTCCTGAAATTAAAGGAATATTATTTCATAGGTTTGTCTGAAGGGAATAGATATGTTAACATTTCTTTTTTTATGGCTTTCATAATTGATACTGATTATATGGAAAACTTGTTTGAAGCTTACAAAGAATTTTTTATCTCCTATGTAGACAATATGTTGATATTATTCGTCCTCCATTAATCTCTTCCCCTCTGTCCTCTTTGAGCTGGAGGCGTGGCTCTGGTAGAGTGCCTGCTAGCAAGCATGAGGCCTTCAGTTCAAATTGTAGTACTTTAATAATAATAACAATAACAACAACACCAAAAAGTACAAACCAGAATTTTGTTTTATTTAGAGTCTAAAAAAACTAAGAATTTCAAATATCTAGAAATTTTTATATCTGATATAAATTCAATGTAAACCATACCCAGCCCCATCACTTAACTGTGAAAAAGAAAATTACAGTCCCTTTTTGGGTCTCAGTTTTCCTTCTCCTTCCACCTTTGGCCCTGACTGACAAGATGTCTTCAACTTGCTACAATACAGTCCTCACTGGCTGTTGCTCCCATCAGTTATATTTAACTGCTTCCACTTGTCACTACAAAAATAATTTTAATTGCTACTCAATAATGAGAGCCATTCATTTTTATTGGGCTCAAAGAAATGATTGGCTGTCAGAAATAAATTATTAACTGGAGCCAGAGGCACATAGAGCAAGATGCCATTTATGCCATGAAGTCTTCCTAATGCCCTCATTTTCTCCACCCTCTCTCCTGTCAATTTAGCAGCCATATCAAATCAAATTGTCTAGTTCTCAACTCTTCAGCCTTCCTGCTTGATCAACACCTTGTTGCTCAAAAATAAGAAGTTAACTGCATACATCAGAACATAAGTATACAGGATTAACATGCTAATAACAAAACAATTGTTTACTAAAAGAGGAGTCTAGATTACCAGTGGTATGAACTTCTATGAAGCAAATTTTCAGGACTAATACTCACAAATATACTATTGGATTTTTTTTCTTTCCTGCTTAAGGCAGCCAAGAACACACAGTATATGATGTCACACCAGAAAAAAAAAAAACAATGACAATACAATTAGGCCCTGATAAAATCACAGCAAAGGCAACAAACTTCCAAGCCTTCGCCCTATTTAATTCAAAAGCAATTGAATAGATCAGCTTTAGCTAATCTTTGCCTGAGTGTTACTGGGAGGCATCTTCCCAGTGCTCTTTAACTTAAAGAGAGTATGCATTATAAAAGGCTGGCCTGATTGTTCCAATGGGGCTTTCATTTCTGTCTCTGATTGGCAGGAGGTGCTTTAGAATGTAGATACCATCAAGTTTCTCAGCTGAACCCATCCTTCTTTGCAAGAGTGCAACATTTTTATCTACTACAAGGCAAAGGGATTTACAATCTGTTTGGATGGGGTATATGTTTGGAATTTTGTTCTGCGAAATAAACATGTTGCAAAGCCAGTGGATAATTTGGATTGTAAATCATTACTGTTATCTTCATGTTATTCAAAGAAAAAGGAATATTGTATGTTTTAGTAAAGCAGCAAAATGAATACCAACAAGCTTTGAAATTCTTGAAACTTTGGATTTGCTGGTCTTTTTCCACACAGAAATCATGATAAATACAGTGCTATTTTTTAATTCCCTGAAAGACATTTTCTATTTAATTCAAAAGGATCAATTAGTGGAAACTTTAAAAGCGTCTGAAAATCTTAAAAATATTCAGGATATGCAGGAAGAAAATATTAAGCATGTCACACTGTTACATCTGTATGGCAAGTAAGAATTAATTTCACATATTACAGCAAATTCTATTTATACCAGAGGTCATTTTTCATTCAAACGCAATTTTTTCCTTTATAGGTAAGTTTATGAATTATTCAATATAGCAAATGTCACATTTTCCATCAACCAATTAAGCATCAAAGGCATGTTGTGTATAGTTTTACTAGAAGAAACCTCAATAGAATCCACATTAGGTCACAATCAATTGTAAACCAAAGAAATAATATAGCTAGCCAGTCAAAACAGTTTCTAAATTGTTCTGCTCTGTGATTTTAAACCAGCTCTTTAGAACAACTGTGTTTACATGAAACAACAACCTCAGAATCCTGTATCTCTTTTACAGAAACAATATTATTGCCAACACAATAGAAATTCTTGTTTGGGTTATTTTTTTTCTTTTTCTTTTCTGTTTTTACCATTCAACACAACGATCCTTGTTCATCACTTCAGAGTTGAAATCTAACTTCTTTCCCAAACATTCAAAGCATCAGTGTTTCCCCTGAAGTTTGTTACGCCATTCCCCCACCCCCAAACACCCAAATCAAATCTTTCTCAAAAGAGACTTACCCAAAAAAGAATGTGCTAGATGAGAGAGTGTGCGCATGCCTGTAGACAATTAGCTAATAAACATGTAAACGGGCAACTCGCACTTTGTAAGTGCATATTTTTATCCATTTAAAAAAAATAAAAACAGGGAAAGGTTAGCCAAGCCCGAAGGAGCCGACTCTGGGCTGCCGCAGCTCCTTACAGCAAACCGCTCATTCTGAAAATGTGAGCTTATTTACATTGATCTCTTTCCCTTTGTTAAGGACTGGCCCTCTTGAATGCTGTAGCCGGCATGCCTTTAACAAACAGGACACAAGAAAAGGCCCAAAGTCCCTTCTGGAGCCGAGGGCCGGGGAAACTCTTGGGGGTCTCAATAGGAAATGCTTTTCATTGGATAAGGAGGCATTATTAGGAGCCGAGATCCCGCCCAATCCCCTGTGCTCCATCGTTCCCTTAGTCACCAATCGCTGGACTGAAGAAGTTTTTCCTTAAAGAGCATTGCCCAGGAAAAGCAGTTTAACAGTCAAGAATTAGTGGCTTAAGTGCCACTTGACAATATAAAAAGTGTCCTTCCTGACCAATTAATTCGCAGAGAAAGCCTGTGTGCCTGTCTTTGCTGCAAGACCACTACCCCCCTTTAGAATTCTAACAAGGAGGAGACAAAATTCCTAACTGAGAGGCATGACTCAACTATAAGCAGTCCCTATTTGCTCCTACAATTAGAATTACAATGTTGGTAAAAACAAGGAGGGGTGGAGAAAGGCAAAAGTGAGAAGTGATGCATTCTTAAGACACAATGCAAAATTAAACCTACTAACACAAAAGAAAAGGAAATCAGTAGCATACTCACTTATGTTACTAAAGAGCTCTCAGATGGAGATGAGTTGGGGTCCCAGAGCTGTAACCCCCACCTTCCATGTACCAGGGAGTGCTCAGTGAAAGGAGGAGAGTCTACACTTCTCTTAAATAACTGCCTGGCAGGAAGTCTAATTACCATGAAATTTTCAGAGATTTGCTAAAGAGTAAAATAAATAGTAGGGATACAATCTGTTTATAGTGAGCAGTTATCTTCAACTATATGGCTACTCTACCCTGGGCAACTTCATTTTTCATAGGATGACTGCCTGCTATAGTCACCCACACTGCTATTTTTGCTTCCATATTTTCTTCCTCTTTTCCTCCCTCTCCCTGATCTGAGTTTGCTTCAAAAATATACTCATCTTTCTAACTTCATTGCTGGGCTCTTCCTACATACCAGCAACCCCCTCCCACCCTTCTCTATTCCCACTCACTGGCAATACCACTACATACAGAATGGGCCCTCCTCCTAATGAAACTACTGGGCAAGGATAAGGTACTTGCTCAATTTAGGCAAAGCAATGTCCCTGGAGAACTGGGGGAGCCTCTGTCTGCTTCACAACTTTAGTCCATGTAATTAAGCTGCCTCCCAAATCAAACATATTTCATGTTTGTTTATTCTCCCCTCTCTTCAACTCTGTTGTGGCTGTTCTCACTAACAGTCTAAGCCAGTGAAAAAGTCACTGTGAAGCTGACACTACTAGCCTTATTACTTGTAACTAATTAAAAAACACTTTGCTACCTCCCCTCCTCCCCTCCTCCCCTGCGTCTCTGCTCTTTTATTTCCCCTCTCTGCTTATCTCAGGTATGTCTACTTCTGTCAGTTGCATTGCATTGGCTATGTTTTCCCAAATGGTCTTTGCACCTACTCTGAGCCTTGACCATCCCCTGATGCATTCATCAGTCCACAAGAAAAAGATACAGTCACCATCCGACTGAACTTCAAAGTCTAGCTAGAGACAAAAAGGCAAATTTTAGCACTTACGTGGAGAGTGGATTCTGTAATGAATCAGAGGATGGAAATGAAGCTCCATGGTTGAGGTTAGGAGAGCTTCCCAAGTAAGGGAGATTTGAGTTGGACCTTGTGAATAATAAACAAGATTTTAAATAACCCAAGAATAAGCTAGACGTCAGTGGCTACTGAGGAGACTGAAATCTAATTATCATAGTTGAAAGCTAACACAGACAAACAAAGTCTATGAGACTTTTATCTTCAATTAACCACTAAAAAGACAGAAGTGGAGCTGTTGTTCAAGTGGTAGAGTGTCAGCCTTGAGTGAAAAATCTAAGAGACAGTGCTCAGGCCCTGAGCTCAAGCCCCAGTAGCAACACTAAATAAGTAAATAAATAAATAACACAAGACTGAAAAGGAATAGCTGTTCAGATGTGTAGAGGCTAGAAACAACTGATCACATGAAAGAAGAGAGGTAGAGAGGGAAGGAAGGAAGGAAGGAAGGTAGGAAGGAAGGAAGGAAGGAAGGAAGACAAAATTGTCTGGTTTATAAAGAGATTGGAAAGGTAAGAAGGGGCCTTTTGGGGGCATGTTCTATTGTAGGGACTATATGCACTAAAGTGACTGAAGAGTTCATCTATAGTTATGTACACTGTCACTCAGTATGAGGAGCTCACTGTCCTTCCCCTCTTGGGATTGATAGCCCTTAATATCCTAATTCATCTGAATTCATTTGTCACTGAGGAATATAAAAATGCTTCTGATTAATCTTCTAAATGATTCTTTAACAGCATATCATTGAGTCATATGCCCTTCTACTCTCACTCTTCTCTACCTAAATACAGCTTCATTTACCCTTCTTCATCTAGAATTTGACCTGATCCCTTACACCCATTTCAGATGTTCCTTCTGCCTGGAATATTCTTCTTCTTTATAATATTCCCTATGTCAGTTTAATTCTTACTCTTTCAGATCCCGAGTAATCATGCCTCTAGGGAACTAATACTTCTTAACATTAATTTAGATCATATCCACTGGGAGGTCTTATAACAAAATAGATTGATTTAAACCAGTACTGGGGTTTGAACTCAGAGCATGGGCACTGTCCCTTAGCTTTTTCACTCAAGGGTGGCCTTCTACCACTGAACCATAGCTCCACTTCTGGCTTTTTACTGGTTCATTGGAGATAAGAGTCTCATGGACTTTTCTGCCCAGTCTGGCTTCAAATCTAGGTCTTAAGATCTCAGGCTCCAGAGTAGCTAGGATAACAGGCACCACTAGCACCTGCCAGATCTTTTCTTGACTGTATTTATCATAGGCATAATTTTATATGTTATTGTGTGTTTTATTTGGTTTACACTTTGTCTATTGATAATCCTAACTGCAACCTAAAGGAGGATAGAGTCTATGTCTACTGAATTACAACTTGATATTAATGGTGCTCATACAAATATTCTTTTGTAATCTTTTCTCTTTCCCCAATCAAAGCAGTTTTATGACTTTCCCCTCTTTCTTTCTCTCTCTCCCTTTCTTTCTTACTTTATTTCTTTCTTTCCTTCCTTCTTTCCTTCCTTCCTTCATTCTTTCCTTCCTTCTTTCTTTTTTCTTTCTTCTTTCTTTTCTTCTTTCTTTCTCTTTCTTCTTTCTTTCTTTCTCTCTCCCACCCTCTCTCTTCTATTTTACAGCTAAAATCATGTGCCTTTTCATCCAGTTAAATAACACTTACATCAAGGTGCTATTTTAAGCCAACAAATATTCACATATAACGAAAAGAGCCCTATTGACAAGAAGAAACTAAAACTAATCCACTACCATTTCTTTTCCTTTCACCTCCATGGCTGCTGCAACCTTCTAGTTCTGCTTGCTCTAATGTTTGTAAGGTGGAAGAAGGAAAATGAAGGCTTTTCCAGGGTGTTCTCCAAGCAGCCAGTTTATAGCCACACAACTTATCCAAAACATCCTTTTTAAAAGGCATTCATTGAGTAGCTCATGTTTGTGCCACTGGGAGTGGAGAAGGAATATATAAGAGCAAAATGTGCATTCAAAACTATCTGAGGGAGTATACATTTCATTTTTATCTGTTTGCAAAGAAAGTAACTGAAATATGACTAAGTTCCAACTGGGAATTTACACACTTGAATAAGGACAGCCAGATGCTTGGGTCCTTCACACTCCAAACCCAAATCAAATTTTCTTTCTGCCAACAATATCAAAGGACTGGGTGAATTCACCCCAGTGCCAGCAGCTCAACACTATGCTAGTTTCCTTAGAAACAGTACAAATGTAACCAAAGGATTTTAACTATGCCTATGGATTAGAGTCCAGCTAACAGTTTTGGTAACTCTCAGTCTCTAATGAAACACAGTGCCTATATAAAACCTGAGCACTGTTGGAAGAAAGGAGAGCCAACTAATTACTAACTTTGCATTAATTAGAGGATGTCTTGAAGCTTTCCAGAAAACAAAGAATCCTGCAGTCTTTCTTTCTTTCTTTCTTTCTTTCTTTCTTTCTTTCTTTCTTTCTTTCTTTCTTTCTTTCTTTCTGCTTTCTTTCTTTCTTTTCTTTCTCTTTCTTTCTCTCTTTCTTTCTCTCTCTCTCTCTTTCTTTCTTTTTTTGCCTTCTTTTACTTCAAGGAAAGGAAGGGATCACAAGGTCAGGATCCCAATCAGTTCATTTAGGACACTACATCTGAAATGACAGAAAAGCATTTTTAAGCAGAATCTCTGCAAGAGTTTTAGCTCATCCTTCTCAATGGAGCACCTTTCCTTCCAAGCTATTTCTCAAACAACTGGACTTTCCTTCTCAACAACTAAACAAGCTCAGAAAATAACAAATCCCTATTGCTTCCAAGCATCCTTAGTTGTTGCAGAAAATAACTTTTCCAATAAAAGACCTTTGGAGAGAGTTTCACAACTCTGAAAGTTAGATATAGATTAAAAATACTTCATGGTAAATGAAACAATGAGGCTTGTTGAGATTGGTCTGGAAGGGGTGTAGGTGAAATGAAAGACAGTGAAAGAGGGAGGTAGTCTGACTGAGTTATTGTGTGAATAAATGAATGTGTCAAAATGAAAGCTCAGAGCCAGGCGCCGGTGGTTCACGCTTGTAATCCAAGCTACTGAGGAGGCTGAGACCTGAGGATCACTGTTCAAAGCCAGCCCGAGCAGGAAAGTCCGTGAGACTCTTATCTCTAATAAACCACTAGAAAACCAGATGTGGCGCTGTGGCTCAAGCGGTACAGCACTCGCCTTGAGCTGAAGAGCTGAGGGACAGCATCCAGACCCAGAGTTCAAGCCCCATGACCAACAAAAAAAATGAAATTTCAGTTAAACATCTGTAGAAAACTAAAGCTAGATCCTTATATATGACTTTGCATCAGAATCAACTCCAAATGGATCAAAGACCTCAGAGTCAAAACAGACACTCTGAAAACATTAAAGGATGGAATAG